GACTTTGACACTAGTTATACAATTGGTCTTCTTTTCTATAAATTGATGCAATAGAACTCTAGACTTATTTCTCTTTCTTTTTGATAGGATATGCTGTTGGTCTTATTGGTTTGTTTACAGAGCTAGATTTACTGCTCTCATTCTATGGATGGTTCTTTCAAGTACTTATAAACTACATAATGTTCAGCCTCGCTATTGAAGTCAAACGTACAAACAGTGATGATAATCATGGAGTCTTAGCTGCTGAACCTCATTCCTTCTTTAAATTCTTTGTCAGTGACAACCATTTCTATGGTCAAATCATAGCTGCAACAGGGCTCTCCATGGCAACACAACAGGAGTGGATGAAACTGAAGCCATTATGGATTATTGTCCTGACGTTGATCATACCTTTTGGTTTTGACTTGAGTTTTAGGCCTTTTAAATGCATGTCTGTGGTTATGCCTTATATGTGTTACATATTTCTGTTAATATATATGGGCTATTTGATATGCAAAGGCCTTCAACTTGGTGTAAAATTCCTAAAGTGYACTAAAGAATCCAGTGATAATCTATGGAGAATGGTAGATGGTTATGGCTGGACCCCTGTGATTCGTCATCACTGGACTAGAATGGAGCTCTCAAGAGTCATAATGTTTCTTTGGTGGATCAAATTTGGATTAAAAGTTGCCCAGCAAAAGAAAATTAATTGGTTTTGGACTTTTGCAAGTTTTGGAGATTCGTGTGCTRCACTACCAAACTTATTTGCTGCTAGTTTGGTTGTCTCTGAAATATCTTTCAGCATCTTGTTCYTTACCCAAAACTGCTTGAAGAGAAATCATGTTGACATGTATGAAGCTTATCATTATCCTGGCTTCAACGAAGGCCTTGCATTCTTTCTTCTAAATCTGCAGATTGGAATCACAGAAGTAGGGAGTGAAGAGCGCTCTCTGATAATCAGCYTAGTTTTATTTGTGACACTTTCTCTTCTTGTACAAGATGCTTATGAGATAACCGAACCAGTACTTGCAGTTCTTGGAGCCACATACACRGGAAAACTAAATTCTAAGCATATAAGAGGGCTTATTGTATCAATGTGTCTGCTATTGATCCCAGCCTTCATGGTCTATAAAATATGCTCCACATTCTCAGCAGGAACTTGGCTGTTTGTGATAATATCCAACAGTGTGGTAACAATGGTCCAGTTGCTTGGTGCATTAAGTATATATTTCCTATTCCTGGCAAATGTRCATTTTCATTATGGCTGGGAGGATTTGGATGATTGTGTTTACTATGTCAATGCAGTGTCTAAGGTTTTTGAGTTTTTAGTTGCTGTGGTAGTGGTTTTCTACAGTGCCTGGTCTGCATTATCTGGCAACTGGAGTATAGTGGGTGAGTGATCATTATTTGTACACTTCAGTTAAACTGCAGACCTAGCTACTGGCCTTCATTGCTCACCATGAGGACTGTAGGTCCAGTCGTCCAACCCTGTTATAACAGATACTTGCTTTGTGTCTTGGTGATGTGCGCTTTCACTGATCCCTTGGGTCCATATTAAACAGGGTTTTCCCTTGGGTGAATATTAAACAGTGTTTTTGACTGCAACTGCTACAATATTTACTATCATCATCATCGTCACTGTTGTCGTCATAGTTAATTAACATATAGGTATGATATATAACATTTAAATTTTTATTGTTTTTTATTTTTTAGGTACTGGCATAATATGCATGCATGCATACTTCAATGTCTACAGTCGTGCTGTTGAAGGCTGGAAAAACTTTTTGCTGAGAAGAAGTGCCGTCCACAGGCTTAACTCATTGAAATCCGCCACAGATGAAGAGCTAGRGGATTACAATGACATCTGCTCAATATGCTTTGACCAAATGCAGTCAGCTAAAGTGACAAAATGCCACCATTTCTTCCATGGAATGTGCCTCAGGAAGTGGCTTTATGTGCAAGATAAATGCCCAATGTGTCACACAGATATTTTGCCAGAGGACTGACTACTACCTGTATTGCAACGCATGGCTGCTATAGGGTGACAGTGGGCTTCTTGCTGTCCTCAGGGTCAAAATGATCATGCAAAAATAAAGAACTATTTCTTATTACTGTTACAGTGCTTCTCAGTTACACATGCAAAATTGTGAAAAAAAAATTAGAGACATTATAAAGTTTTGGTGGACGCCAATCAAAGTGTTTCCCAGCATTGTCAAAAAACACAAAGCTTTTAAGGGCGTGTCTATGGAATGTCATGGAAAAGCATTGATTGACATCCACCAAAACTTCATCACGATAGCAAATTGTACGATTTCACACATGATTGAGAAATGCTGTAAATGACCTCTAATAAAGCCAACATAATCTGTAATTGTTTAGTTCCAGAAATTATCCATACATCTCCCCCCCACCCTCTCTCTCTCAAAGGAGGAATCTTTTTAAAGACCCCCTACCCCTGGAAATTCCAATTTTCTTAAATACAATTTTTTTTTTTCCGTGGTCCCCTACTCCTCGGAAATGCCAAATTCATCTGTGGGGGGAGGGGGTTATGGATAATTTTTGGAACTCCACATTTATAATATATATATGTTAGTCCTATCAAACATTTCCAAGAATTCAATTTAAATGGCTTCTGGAAAATCCCAGTAACTGAAGCTAGACTACAGACTACATAGCCCACTTGAATTATCATAGCATATGCTACCACTACTAGAAATCCATTGCACACTCTTTTGTTCTTTTAATTTGTGCCAAGTGTCTAATATTATCTTGCAAAGCTTTCTGGTAGTGGTAAGTAAAATGATGTTATCAGCGCAGATAGCCTATCGCCTATTGATAGAGTTAAATGAAAACTCAAATCGTAAGAACAAATTGAACTAAAAATCGCTTTAGTTGCCTTAACAAATGAAGAAATAGAAAACGCGCGCGCGTCCTGTGTGCTGTCATAAAGCACACAGGGGTTGGCAGAACACGAGAGAAGTGTTAGGAGAAGCACGACGCGTAGCGGAGTGCTTCTGGACACTTCTCGAGTGTTCTGCCAATCCCCAAGTGCTTTATGACTGCACAAAGCACAGCAAGCAAGTTTTTTATTTCTTTTATAAAATACAAATTACAATAATAGATAGGAATGACGCAACTGAAAGTGCGCACGTGTGCATTGTGCTCTCATAAAGCATGCGCTCCAAACCAATCAGAACGCGACATTCATAACAGTTATTTTATAATTAGATTTAATCAGAAAAAAAAGGGATTGGCTGAATTTTAGCAGCTTTCTGTCTCGGTTTGAATGATTTAATTAATTTTACAGTGAAGACACTTGAACCATGAACAATTGACTTTATTCAGATTTTTATTTTTTGAGCTTTTTACTGCTTCAAACACTCTAAAAAAGTAGGATTGAACTCAAATATGCTACGTGATCAAAAGACAACTTATTTCTAAATGATTCACTCAAGGGATGCATGTTAAACAAAGTAGTAAAGCACAAGTGTTCATGGTTAGAGTGTCCTCACTATAATAATTTATTATGACCCCTAAAGTTTATTTGAAGAACCAAATTGTCCCCAGAATTGTATGGTTTTCTTTTAAAGCGTTGCAATACAGAAAAAGATATATAGATATAGAAATTCAGAGCGCATTATTTACAAACGTTTATCAACATTGTTATTGTACAGATATTATAGTTCAAAAAATAAAAACTTCAGAAGTTCTGCATGGATATGTTGTGAGTTGTTTTTAATCAATACAACAAAATGTAGATTGTATATCATATATTATTCATGGTATTTTTATAGATTTATCAGACGTATTACAGGAGTGGAGCCAACATCACCAGTCGTATACGTGGGATTCCTGTGGTTTAGTGACGTAACCACACTTCAAATGCTTGATATTTGCCAGTTTACCAGTCCAATACCAAGAGTACCCTGCAGTCCCCAAAGTCCAAGAATGTAAGGCTTATCTTTACCACTATACGGCTGAGATAATACCTCGAAAAAGTGTCTGACAGCCTTCTTGTTTCCTAGGTTGAATGGTTTACGCTTGAATCCAATGAGAGCTAAAGCCAATGTTGGTAGAATGCAGCCACTGAAGATGGTAATAGTAGTTCCTCTAATAGATGCACACGCACTACATTGCAGTTCACGTGTAGACAGCGGCTTGGTTAGTAAATATTGCCAAGARTACATTGCCAWTGCTCCACAAGCTACAGGAATCAACATGGCCGTCGTACGTGAGGTGTAAAAGCCATGAAGACGAGGATACAAGCACGCGACTCCYGCGCTGGAGAGTCCCACGACTGTTGAGAAACGGTCTTGCTTGGTTGAGATGGTATTTTTCATTTATATGTTTTTGAAAACTGAATAATCTTAATATCTTGMCGTTCAACAGCAAATTTCTTTTTCTTTTAGATAATTGACAATTTTGACTGGGCGTTCCACACTAAACGGAGAGGGACTGAGTCTAATTGCCGGTAAGTAACCCGCTTTGCAATGCAATAAAATKTTTTATAGGCATTATTTCTTATTTTACGATGAAAAGTCGATTATAATATGACAAATTGACTTATTAACGCGCTAAATAGCTAAATATTTAAGTTTTAAATATTTTTTTAAAATTCCAACCGACTCATTCCAGTCCAAGGAARGATTCCAAGATTTACGATTCCTAATTTTCCAGCGCCGTTAATTTCAATTAAGCAAATCAAACAAATTTACTTTATTGTTGTCTTTTTCATACATAATTTCATAATTATATGACTATATACTACATATTTATCCRCTCACCTTTAAAGAATTCGTATTTTTGGAGAAACCGTATTAGAAGTCGATCGATCATTCACTACACGGTTTCTCTCCGGCATATCTAACTTTTCTTAAAAAGCAGCTGGCTGCAAAGAACTCAAGCGCGGTTTACACTGGTTTTAAGATAGAACTGACGACCAATAATCATGAGCGAAAAGTTATAATAAAAAATTATTTTATGAAAAAAAAAAAAAAAGAACAAGAAAACGTTAAAGTATTACGAAAGGAATGCGTCTTTATACGTTTTGTAATTGTTGTTTTTTATACACAATTATCGGACATACTTTCCAAATTTGTACAATTTTCTTTAAAATTGTTGGATTTAATCTCGTTAGTACCCAAAGCATGAGCAGTAAGAAATAATGGCTCTGGGGAAGAGGTTGAAATAAATGAGCAAACAAAACTTCTTAGTGATACTAGAATTAAGCGGTTTAAGAGATTATCATACTTATTATCTTTTTATCATTGTTACTTAGAGCATCTATTATAATCGCCGTAATCTGTACTCATTTATTTCTTCAGTTATTTTTGTTACTGGCTGTTGTTCTTTTTAACCAGAAAAGTTAACTTTTAATTTTGTATACTTAATTTATTCACTTTGATATCAATTTTCTAGGATATTTGCATTTGTTTAATTCCAGCAAAATAAGCTGGTACACAATTATTCTATTACAATACCCTCGTTTCTCCACAGWTTATATATTGATCTCGCATGTGTTTTACCATTATGAATAAATGATTGRAAGAAACATTAATTTCATTTAGTAAAATCGGTCACTTAAAGTCGATAAAAAAGCGAGAGGTGGTCGTTTCTGAGTCGATCGGTAATAGTGTGTGTTTTTTAAAGCAAACAATGGGCTTGTTAAAAACATTTTAAGTAACTTTGATCATTGTCAGATTATTTTGATTCATGTCAAAACATCTCCGTTRATACAAGCTGAATTTAACCCGATTTTCGAGTTGGAGTAATATGGAGTTTAAAAATTATATTTTGTATAAGAAAGTTTCATTACCTGCATAGGTATACTTAATTAACAATAACGTTAGTACAGAGTACGTATTTGCAAAGTATATATGTTGCAAAAGCAAATACATAAAGAACGATTCAAACCGATACCACAAAAAAAACTTTGGAAATACGAATTGAGAATAAAAAAGAWTTTTAAATTGRTCGTTTTTAACACTCAACAKATGTTTGATCACCTGATAGAAGCGGGMAGCTGAGATAATGTATATTTACTGAATACCATGTCAAGAGAATGAAAGAACAAAAGACGCATAACAAAAAAATCTTAATCGTTAAAGTTATGAAAACGCTGATAAAATGTGCAGAATGATCCATAATCAGATGGTTTGAAGCACATGAAAACCAGTATAAATGTTGCATTAACAGCACTTTAGAACCGTGTTGCCTTCTCGTGATGGTTGCATGACGGTATAAGCAAGAGTACAACCCATCGCTATCTCCGTTATACGAAAACACGTCTGGAAACCGTACCAAGGCCAGGGAGCGGGATTGACGACTCTAGAGTACAGACCATACACCCCAACCATGGAGTAGATCTGTAGACCACAACACACAAACCCAAGAAAGGCAGTCACCATTGTGATCTTGGCTACTTTGATGGTAGAATTCTTTCTTCCTGCATTTCCATCGTTGCTCGTTTCTTGTAGGTTAATCTGGTTGAGTTGTTTCTTGGCTCTCTTCGATGTCAAGATGACTTTACCTCCACTGTAGAGAAAAGCGATGGAATTGATGAATCCCCAGACGATGAAAAACGACTGACAGACAATCAGAAGCTCAGTTTTGTCTGCTTCGAGTGCAACGGTTATATCTGAAACCAGAACAACGATGAAATGCAAGACAATGATGGAACATACGAATGGTAGGCTGTGGAGCTTCTTGGAGCCAAGCTGAAGTTTGGATACTTCCAGAAAAGCCACATGAACGAGACAAAAGGCAGAAGTTAGACAAGGAAAAGCCAGGCCAAAGAGAACTCTTGTTAACCATAATTCAATATTGAAGCCATGTTCTGAAGATTCGTAAGGATCAGTCAGCAAGACAAGAGCACGAACTGATCCAAGAATAAATAGCAGAGAATTAATGGCATAGAACAAGAGCCTCCTTGTAAACGCTTTACGCTTATCAGCCATCAGCATTGCAACGAGTGAATGCACGGCTATCAGAGCAAAGGCAACACCAAGTCCTATCCAGTGTACTTGCCACGCTGGACCCCAAAGTTTCCTTGCCTCGGGCCAGTTTGGACCTGGTTCTGCCTTTGGATCTGGATTAGGAGGTGTTAATGTCATATTTTYGGTGTTCTGATTTACCATATCTGTCTTATCTTCGCTTTCTTTTTGAATACGGCGTTTTGAAGCACTCGTGATCATAAAAGCAAGTCAGCCATGGATGTTCTTAGCACCATGGTATATTTGCTCTTTATGCATGGTTTGATTTGGTAGTCGTGTGAATTAATGATTGATAGACTTGATTAATAGTTGCCAAATTAGAATGGATGTTAATCAATCTCGTACCCAGACAATATCCTACCCAGAGCCTGCGTTTCTTCTGGCTTGCGGCGAAGAACAAGGGCTCTGGCATAAACCATTTTTTGAGGCCAGGATTTCATGGACTTCCGGTATAAGAGCGCATGTGTTCAAAGACTTGCCAAATAAAAATTTAAAAAATATGTTCCCGATTTATTATTTTTATTTTGATCGAAAGTGAACACAGAACTCTGTTTGAAAGCATGATTTTCATTTATGATATTTCATTTCCGGGAAACAGCGCATGCGCCAAAAAATAAATTATGCAAGAGCCCTCGTTCTTCGCCGCAGGCCAGAAGAAACGCAGGCTCTGGGTACGAGATTGGTGCCCAGAGCATTTATTTCTTTCTGCGCATGCTCGACAATTATTTCGAGTATCCACAGTAGTAAGAAATAAGGGCTTTGGGTACGACATTGGWTGTTAATGTCTCTATTAGTGGCTCGTTATGTCTCTTCGCCTATTATGTAATATTCTATTCTTCTATTCTATTCTAATATCCTATTCTTCTTTTAATATTTATTCATTCGAGTTACTTTTTTTTGCTTTCTTTGTAGTATTCTTTAATTCAAAATCACAAGTTGTCATCCCCAATTTTWTTTCAAATTAAAATCACTTTCCTACAATTTATAAACATTATTTCACTTTATTTATTAGTCAAACCTAACGATTTGGAGACGTGGGTGTACGAGATGGCTGACACCAAATTATTAATATTGTTTTTAATGGTACGTAAACATCAAAAGAATCAAATTTYAAATATTGGCTCAGTAAACTGGGCCAATATCATTTGAAAAATAAAGATTAAATATAGTTCAAAAACATACAAGATTAAATGACGTTAAGTTAAATTATTCCTCTAAAATTCATAAATCCAGAAAAACTTGTTTTATGGACGCTACTTGTGATTGGAATAAGAATAATTCGCGCCTTTTTTGCATCAGCCAATGAAAATCTATATATTTGTATATGTTTAACACGCGCGTTAAATTTGGCGCGCTCCAAGGTGAATCTTTACTGTAGCTGACTTCGAAGTTTTTAAAGAATATACTAAATATCATCTCACTTAAAACACCGAAAATCAACCTGGAGTTTCTCCAAAAGGCTGAAATAAGGTAATTATCTAGTATAGGGCTCAAACTGCCACAAAAACGGCTATAAATCATTTTACTTTGCCGAACATTTTCAGCACTTGTCGAGTTCCAAGTGCTTT